GCCGTGTCAGAAAATTTTATACATATAAAATACAATTTTACTCATACATATAAAATAAAATTTAAAAACAAATGGTTCTGGGATTGTATATTAATCATAGAAATAGCTGGGCAGCAGTGGTGGCACATGCCTTTAATCTCAACACTCAGGAGGCAGAAGCAAGCATATCGCTGTGAGTTTCAGGCCAGTCTGGTCTATCAGAGTGAGTTAGTTCCAGGACATCAAGGGCTACACAGAGAAACCCTATCTTGAAAAAAAAAAAACAACAAAAAAAACCACACCAAACCAAAAACAAATCCCAGATTTGTGTGTGTGTGTGTGAATTTTAATAAAGACAGAAACAAATGTTTTTATTTTGCACATTTTATTAAAATATATAATATAGATATTTACTTTATATCTACATGGGGAAAATGGTTATAGCATCAGCAATATGTACCAAAATGTAAAACCAAAAAATTAAACTATGTAGATTTGGGGTTGTAGTGATGGCTCAGAGGTTAAGAGCAGTCACTATTCTTCCAGAAGACGCAATATTGCAGCATTCAAAGCCAATGACTCAAAACTGCCTATAACTACAGTACTAGAAGATTCCACATCTTTTTACAGCTTCCTCGGACATCTGCACATATGTGGCATATATTTTCTCTCTGTCTCTCTCATAACACCCACTCTAATAAATATTTAAATAAAAATACAGTTCTTAATAAAAACAAAAATATTGCTAGGAAAAATTTTAAGGCAAAAAGAGAGACTTTCATCACAGTTTGCAAACTGGGAAGAGAGAGCCATTGGCATAAACTGTTAGTGTGATCCAAAGGAACAAAGAAGGCTTGGTTTAAATAAAGTTCCTGTCCAAGTTCTCATGCTGGCCGGAGTGTTCAGTACTGTCTGTTGATATCTAAAGTTTAAGGCTAAGTGTGGTGGTGAACACGCAGTGGTGTACACGTTATGGTAGTTTGAATGTACCTGGCTCCCATAAACTTATAGAGAGTGGTACTATTAGGAGGCATGCCTTTGTTGGAGTAGGTATGGCCTTGTTAGAGGAAGTGTGTCATTAGGGAAGTGGGTTTTGAGGTCTCATATATACTCAAGCCATGCTCAGTGAGACAGACCACTTCCTGCCACCTGTGAGTCAAGATATAAAAAAACCTCAGCTCCTTCTCTAGCATCATGTCTGCCTGCATGTTGCCTTGCTTCTTGCCATGATGATAATGGACTAAACCTCTGAACTGTAAGCCAGCCCCAATTAAATGTTTTCCTTTATAAGAGTTGCTGTGGTCATAGTGTCTTGTCACAGCAATTGAAACCCTAAGACACACCTGTAACCCAAGTACTCAAGAGGCAAAGATAGGAGTTTTCTGAGTTCCATGCCAGCCTGGTCTACATATTGAGTTCTATACCATCTAAAGCTAGAGTGAGACTCTCTCTTAAAACCAAACCACTAAACAAAACAAAACATAGTTTACTGTAGGTTATATGGCTTATTGGTTAGGTTTGTTTACCTTGACAGTTGAAATAGGAATATGACTAGGCATGGGACCCTTAAAGTTTAGCTTGTCATTTCTCCATGAAAAAAGTACATATGTGACACCAACCCACCCTTCCATCAGCAAATTGTTACCAGACTTCATTTTTATTATAGCTGGCCCTCTTCTTGGAGCCAGCTGCTAGTGAGGGCATCTAGAAACCTGTTAGATCTCCAAAATCTCTTGGGTTAATTGGGTTCTGGTATCTTGTTGGGATGAATCCAAAGTCTTAAAGGTTTTAACATTATCCTGAGTCTGGTGAGTTTCTCTTTGTAGTAGCTGTTAAAACAGGTTGTGTTCCTCTCAAAGAGAAGTCAAATGTCATTCCTAGTATGAAGAGAATCATTGAAAGTAGTGGGGCAGAACACAAGAGGTCATCAGTGCAAATTAAGACACTTTTAGAGATTTAGCCAACTTTAAGAGTTTGAAAATTTCCAATTCAATCTACCCCAAAGTATCCAGGTACAATTTGAGGTACATAGAACAGAACTGACACTGCCCCATGCAACAAGGACTATTATTTAGGAGTATATGAGCACAGGAGTCCAAAGAGCTCTGGTGGGGCCCACTGGTCTTGGGCAGTGGATTAGTGACTGTGACACAGACAGGATTGACAGATTGATAGCTCTTTCTCGATTCCGAGCTTTTGTGCTGTTATCTCGATTCTATAACAGCACAGGAGGGGCCACTTTCCAAATAAGGCTAAATGCAATCCCCAGAACAGACTCCTTAGAGTTGTCCTCTGATCTCCATTCATATGTTGTATGCATGTACAACGCACACCCAGTAATAAAAATTTAAAAACCCAGAATAGTAAAAGTTTCCAATTACGTATTTATTCTAGGTGGTACCAATTCCTAGCAAAGATCCTAGTATTCTTCCATGTCTAGCCCAACCACAAGGAAAATTCCTCCCAAAAAATCATACCCTTAAGAATGTCCACAGCTGTTATCCTGCTATCCTTTATTATATCCTTATAATAAAGGGTTGGCATCAGAGTAATTACCTCTAAAATAATTTTAAAAAGCTTCTCTCTACAGCATGTTATTTGGGTTTGGAATAACAGTCTATTTGTAAGGTGGTGAAAGGCATAGCCAGATATCTAAGAGGTAGGTACATCCAATCTCTCTCAAGACCTGTTCTCATAGCACAAATAAAAATAATTCCAGCAGGGGCACAAATGAGCTCTGACATATTTTTTAGGTTAAGATGACTTTCAGTGGATAGCGAGGTAAGAAGAAAGGAACACCAAGTCAGTGAGGAAGACACCCAGGCAGTAATTCATTTGGCTTGTGGCTTGTAATAGGAGGGGGTAGGTTTTCCAGATGACCAGTCCAAGTGAGAAGGTTCTTGTTGGTAACAATGGAGTTTAGCTTTATAATCAGCCTCCCCCCACCCCGCGTGCCCCCCCCCAACTACTCAAGATACAAAGTTAAATCTCAAGGCAGGCAAAAGTTAAGGAAGAGACTTCACAGATCTTATTAAGTAGATTTATTCCTGAAAGGCTTCAGGACATGACACTGCAGAACAGGCCTTGGTGAAGTTGACACAACAGAGAATTATTAGGCTATTCATACCAAAGGCTTCAGTAGGGGTGTGATGGCATATCCAGTATTCCATTAAGTTTCTGTTCATGGCCAAGACCGGGGGTGGGGGTGGGGTGGGGGGGTTAGATGATGGTAATCTGTGCAGGGCAGTAGGAATGGCTAGGATAGCCAGAGCAATAACAAAAATCAATATTGTATTTCAATGTCAAAAAAGCTGAGTGGGGAAAACTAAGGATCAGGGAGATGCTAGAGCAGTGGTTCTCAACCTTCTTAGTGCTCAATCCTTTAATATATGTTGTGGTGACCTCCCCACCATAAAATTATTGTTGCTACTTCAAAACTGTAATTTTACTGCTGCTATGAATTATATGAATCTGATATGCAGGATATCTAATGTGCAACCCTCACAGGGTTGTGACCCACAGGTTGAGAACCACTATGCTAGAGGTTGTTTATGATTTCCTGTCATGGTGGATCAAACTAGTCTAGGTAGTGAAGACCTTTAGAGAAGAGTGTTAGCAAAAGGGTTAAAGAACTGGAATTGATGTCAGTCAAAGTGATAAACAAAGAGACGTTGGTGTTATAGGTCTATGAAGAAAGAAAATAGTATCTTATAGGGAAATAGTGTAATGAAAATCCACAAGTTTTCAGCTAGATGCAAATTCATTTGGAAACTGTATTGTTCTTGTCCTGGTTCTTGGGAGAAGCTCTTTTCTCAGATGTTATCTTATTTCTTTTGGAATGTAAACTTCTTTTTAACTTGATTTTGATACTAGTGGCAGGAGCTGAGGTCCATTAGCTGAAAGTGGAGGGTCAGGAAATCTTTGTAAATGGTACAACCCTAGAAAACGAACCCCAATGCCTATACCCCTTAATTTAGCTGTACACAGGTTGGAAAAAAGCTTCCATAGAGGGAAAGATAAAGGTTAGTTAATAGTACTTGAAGGAGTCCCTTCAGTAGGACTAGAAGGAACCTGAGCTAGTATCATTTCTAATACACTCTTTAGGCTTTAGGATGTAAGAGTGAGCTTTGTATACCAAGGGCATGCAGTTGAAGGAATCTTTAACAAAGGTAAGCAGTACATTGTAGGATGTTAAACAATCCTTTACAGCAATGCACATATCCTCTAATGATCACAGGTTGTGAAGTACTTTGTCTAGCACTTAGACGCTAAGTGCATAGAGAAGCCAGTAATGATCTCAAAAGAAGATAAAAATGTCTTCCTGTGGGAGTGGAGGGTTGAGTGAAGCTAACGGAAGAACCTTGGATAATGGCAAACTAAATATCTCACAATTTTTTTTTTACCAACTAGGTGTTTATTTCTCCATTGGTCTTGCAATATATCTAGATGACTGTGGATATTAAGTACAATGGAGATATAGACAGGCTGATTCTACAATTTGAATAACTTGTCTAGTATAATAAATCCTTTCATCACTACAAAGTTCTTAGGGGATCCTCCTGGTGAATAATATTTTCCATGGTTCTAGACTAGTGGTAAGGGAAAGCTTCAACTCAAGATGAAAACATGCCAGCCATAACCAACACACACTAGTATCCTGTGAAGCGGTACAGTGAATAAACCTTGTCAGACTTTGAATAGACCATTAGACAGTTGGAGATGATCTTGGAAGCATGATTTGGCTTTCCAGGGTTGTACCAGGGACATATTTACAGAGTCAATATACCTCATAAGCAGTGATGAGTGAGGGCTTCCAATAATATTGATTTTCCTATTTGACCACTTGGCCAATATTCTAGGAAGTTAAGACACAAAGTATAAAAATTAATTGTGCAGGATAGGATGCCAGTTTACACCCACCCAAAGATGTGTCTTTTAAATCAAATGATGCTCCTGTTTGTCCCCATCCCCAACCATTTCCCACTCCTGGCCATGCAGAAAACAGCTTGATCCTTTATTAATTGGTGGCATAAACCTAGGGTTGAGGAGGACACAGGGCAGCTTATAGAGGCGATGACATTAATATGCTTGCTTCTTGAAAGACAGCCATTTAAAGTTCATGTACTTTATTTTTTTTGAACTCTTGGAACCTGAGTGACATGAGTGGGCAAGGATATGGTCCTTACTTTCACTGGTTGTCCTAAGGAAGTAAAACTCTTCTGGGCTTCCAGAGCACACCCAGCACACATGTGACCCCCAACATGTATCTACTGTCTGTATAAAGGTTTCCATTCAGTGAATGGACCTCTAGCCTTAGAAAAGGGTCTGAATTCTATAATCTTGTCAAAGGAAACTGTAGCAAAAACTGATTTGATAGTTGACTACTGGATCATCTGAGATAAAATCTTTTACAAACTAATTGTTGTAGTATGTACTCCACAAAGGAGTTTCTTGTTCATCTAGTCAGAGGGAAGTTGATTAGTTAGGGTAAAAAAGTCAGGAGGGGCATGTAGCTGGAGAGCTTCATGCAGTTCCAGCCCCCGCAGTCCCGCATCCCACTTATAAAATAAACACACAGACACTTATATTATTTAAACTGTTTGGCCTAATGGCTCAGGCTTCTAGCTAGCTGTTCTTATATGTTAAATTAACCTATTTCTATTAATCTATAAGTTGTCATGTGGCTTACCGGTATCTTAACATCTTCTCATGGCAGCGGCTGGCAGTGTCTCTCTGCCTCAGCCTTCCACTTCCCAGCCCTTTCCTCTCCTCTTTGTCCCGCCTATACTTCCTGTCTGGCTACTAGCCAATCAGCGTTTTATTTATCAACCAATTATCCACAGCAGGGACACGGCAGTCTGGGAGAGGAAGCAGAGCAGCAGAACCTAACCCATTCTAACAAGTGACAGAAGATGAAGTGAGGAGGAAAAGACTCTCACAGGTGGGCTGCTAGCAGAGGCATTAGTATAATGAGAGCTGAAAACAGCTTCAAGAGAGGGCGGGACACAGTTGAAAGAAGATCCCATGATAACTGTTCAGTGAGGCAGTAACCTCATACAGACAGGAACACAGTCTTTGCGCCAGTAGGTCTAGCTGCTGTCTGTACTGACCCCAGTGGTCTGTTTTACCTCCCTAGAGCTGAGGTAGGATTCTTGGTGTCTTCCTTTCCCATACATAAATATGTGGAAAGGGAGAATGTAACTGGGGAGTCTCAAAGTGGGAGTTAATGTCAACTGCTTCCCGATATCTTCGAAGAACCATTTTCCACTGTAGAACCACTAAATATGGTAAGGAAAGGAATTTTCCAGTAAACTGTACAGAGAATAGGACACTAAAGAAAAGTTTAGTGGTCAGTTCTGGAAGTAACTAAACAAGTCCTAAAAATCATCAGAGTTCTCTTTTAGTGCAGGGAAGAAGAGAAGCTAAATGTTTTGAGGGCTGTAAAGATAAGATCCAGATCTTTAGGCATCAAGAGCGAACTCCCAAACATGATAGAGGTTTGAAAGAATTGGAGTCCTTATAACTTCTAGAGGACAGGCTATGACAGAATTGGAGGCTTTCAGTACAGGCTTCTTGGGATGAGGCATGTAAAAATAGATTATCCTAATATTGAAGAAAAATGGAACCATATTAGAAGGATATATTAGCTAAGACATCCTGAATTACCGAAAAGAATTAGGTGGGACTTTCAGTATAGCTTCCCAGGTAGTCTGCTGATCCTTCTGTGTTAAAGCAGAGAGGTACTGGCTATGAGGATGTACTGAAAAAAGCACCACAGAAGCCAATGGCTTCTCAGGGAAGCACTGAACAATAAAGTACGAAGGCAAGCAATCACTGGCTGTTAAGGAATAACTATTTTGTTAACAGCTATTAGACATTGAAGAAATCTCCATCCTTTTCCATTAGGCTAGTGGACAGGTGGAGTGAACACATTTATGTGTGAAATCATCCACTACGAGTTGTATGCCAACAAAGACTTAATGACTATTGCTCAACACTGGTGAGAAATTTTTTAGGATCCACCTGGATTTTAACTGGAGATGCTGAATGGATATGACCAACATTAGTACTGTAATGAGTCCAGAGGTTCTTGGTCAACTTACTGGAATGTAGGTAGGTGTGGCAGTATTAGAACCTGGCTTTCTGGTAGGATTAATTATATTACTGTTTCTCCCTTTGGGAAGAAAGAGCTTGGTTTTGTATTCCACAAAATTTCTCCCTAAAATCTACACAGGGGTTGTACCAATCAGTAAGCAGTATAGCGACTTTCCAGTATAGGAGAGAGCATTATTAGAAAGAAAAAGGTTGAGATTTGGAAACTGTAACAGACTGGGTAACAATCTCAACCATTTGAGGGAACTTGGAACTCTGGGGAAGAGACATGAGGGTGTCAAGGTTAATAAGGAACAGATTATCCCATGTGTTGTGGTTTGAATGAGAATGGCCCTCACAGGCTCATATATTTGAGTGTTTGGTTTCCAGTTGGTCTGTTTGGGACGTGTGGCCTTATTAGTAGAGTTATGTCACTGGAGGTGGGTTGTGAGGTTTCAAAATCCATACCAGGCTCAGTCTTCCTCTCTCTGTTGCCTGAAGCTTGTGGATCAGAATGTGCTGCGCTAGCACCAGGCCTGCCACCACACTCCCTACCACAATGATCATATGCTAACCCTCTGAAACCGTTGAGGAGGTCCCCGATTCAATGCTTCCTTCTGTAAGTTGCCTTGGTCACTGTCTTTTCACAGTAGAACAGTAACTAAAACACCAAAAGTGATATGATTAGCTACTGTGGTCAGTTTTTTTTTGTAACCATGACAAATACCTGAGAAACAAAGTAAGATTGATTCTGGCTCACGGTTTCAATGATTTTAGTCCTAGATAGCTCCACTGCTTTTGGACTGAGGGTGTGTGTAATGGTAGAGAGGGTGTGATAGAGCAGAATTGCTCGTCTCATAGCAGCCAGGAAGCAGATAGAGCAGAGGAAGGGGCTCAGACAAGATATATCCCTCAAAGGCAAACCCCAGTAGCCTCCTTCCTCCAACCAGGCACTATTTTGTCAATAGCCCTTTCAGAATAAGCACATAAAACAATTAACTTGTTGATAAAGTAAAACATACTTTATTTTTGTGTGTACATGTGCATGTGTAAGCTAGAGAGATTGATGTCAGGTGTCTTCCTCAATCACTCT